TTTTTTTTTTTTTTTTTTTCAAAGGAGTCCATGTTTGATTCTCCCCTTTGCCCAGCCTTTTCGGTGATTTATAATTGTTGTAAATTTTATCTTCACTCTTTGCTGCTTTACCTCCCCCTCCCCCTCCCCCAACTGCTCGACTCTTAAAATTCATCTGACTTGGGAAATTAATTTAGGGATTGGTAGAACAGATTTTTAGAATAAGGGGGGAAAGAGTCAAGTCTGAGAATTGTGAAATTGTTTTCTCTTTTTCTCGCGTTGCAGTGTACCTCCCTTCCTCCGTGATCTCCGACACTGCTAAAGTGGAAGGAACTCGGGTACCCTGCCACAGAAAAGTACTGGGACTGAGCAAGAGAAAGAGGTAGGGGTTACCCTCACGTCTCCCTCTGACTCGGTTGGCCCAGGATTTCCCACTGTACCCCAGTGGCTTCGGGGGATCAGGTGGGAGCCTGAAAAGGAGGCCCCCAAAGTAGCTGCCTCATCCAGAGACTGGATCACAGAAGTCCTGGGACTTGCCCGTTGAGCAGTGCTAGCGGAAGGAGGCACAGTGGTTCCGTTCTACCCTTTTTTTGTTTGTTTCTTCTGGTCGCCTTTCCGAACTCCACCTCCCTCCCGTTCTTTCTATCGCACTCTGCCCCTTCTTTGAGGCCCACCCCATGCCCCTGGCACGGAGGGATAGTTTCTCTCCTGGGTTATTTCTCTCCCCCTGGAGCCACCCAGCAGCCCCCCCCACAGTGTTCAGGAGCACCTTACGAGGGAGGGGTAGGTAGGCAGCAAGGGGGACAGGATTCAGGACAGAGAATACCCTGCCAGTTTTTGCTTGGGAGGCTGAAACATTCTTTATTGACATACACCCCCCTCCCCGGACACACACGCTAATGCACTAGACTGAGCATTGATTTCCAGCCTTCTCTGAACCCGGCCTTTGGAATCCTCTTGTCTCCGCTCTTATATCATCCCTGCGCCCGGGTCTGACTGCTGTCCCTCTTCTGTTCCATTTTGTTCCATCCCTTCCCTCGGTGTCTTTGTGCGAGCCCGTGTGGGTGTCCCCCTTTCTGTGTGTGGGCCTCTCTGTGTGTGTCTGTGTTTTCTCTCCAAGACTGATTCTCTCGTCCCTTTGGCCGCTCAGGCTGTTCTACCTCGAAGTGACTTTCCAGCCCTGTCTTGTTTCTGTTTACTTCTCTCTTCCCCGCGTGTGCCTCCCTCCCTCCTCTTTCTGGTCCGTGTGTGTGTGTGTGTGTGCGCGCGCGCGCATGTGTGTGCGTGAAGAGTGTCCCCACGTGTATGTGGACAGCCCCGCACATCATGTGCGCCACAGTCCCCCAGCCTCGGTGCCCTCTCCCCCTGCGCCGAGCGCCTCCGCCTGCCCTCGTGTGCCCATGAGCTGCAGGTGTGGATCTCCGGCCACACGTCCGTCACCCTCTCATGTGCTTTGCAGACAGATCTGTTCATTCACTCCATTCTCCCTCTTGTCCGTGTCCCCTCTGCCTGCCCGCCTCCCCTGTTCTCTTTCCTCTCCTGCCGACCTCTCCGTTTCCCCTCTGCTCTCCTTGCTTCCGCCTGCCCCTCTACCTGCTTGCTCCTGTTCTGGTGTCTGCCTGCCCGCCTGTCTGCTCCTCCCCGACTGGCTGGCAGCCTCTTCCTCTCTCTGGTTGTCTGTCTGCTTCTCTGGCTGTTTGCCCACCCCTCTCTCTCTCTCTCTCTCTCTCTCTCTCTCTAGCCATCTGTCTCCCCGCCTGCCTGTCTCTGTCACTTTTTTAGCCCTCGTCTCTTGGTTTGTCTACCTTCCAGGCCCTGCCGTGGCTCCCTATCTCGGTTTGCCTCTTATCTCCTACTTGTTCCCGTCTTATTTATGCCTGTTGAGTTCATGATTTTTCCTTGCCGCCCTTTATGTCTGTCTGCTTGCCTGTCTACCCCGCTCGCCTGCTGCCATCCCACTGGTTAATGCTTGTATCTTTTCAGTCTGACTGCACGTCGGCTTCCTCCCCCTTGGCTTCCTCAATACCAGCAGTATCAGCGTCCCGTCAATGGCGGTGGTCGCTCTTCCCCGCACCTGTCAGTGACCCCCAGGCCCCAAAGCCTTACCTGCCTTCTTGCCATACCCCACCCCCTCCAACCCTACCTTTTCTCGCTTCTCGCCCTCCTGCCGGCCATCCCTTTCCCTTCGTGTATTTCTGGTCCCTCAGAGCGTCTGCCTGCCTTTTGGCCCGGCTGTCTGCCTGCCTGCCTCTTGGCTGTCCACATCTCCGCTCACTTTCTCTTTTCTCGTCTTCTCTCGTCACACAACTTTTTAAATTTTTATTGATTTTTAAGGTGTACTTATTTCTTTTGAGAGAGTTAAGTGAGCAGGGCAGGAGCAGAGACAGAGGGAGAGAGAGAATCCCAAGCAGGCTCCGCGCTGTCAGCGCAGAACCCGACGCGGGGCTCGAACCCACGAACGGGGAGATCATGACCGGAGCTGAAATCGGGAGTCAGAGACTTAACCACCTGAGCCACCCGGGCGCCCCCACTTTTGAGTAGATGGTACACACGTGCACGCACACACACGTACAGAATTTTTCGAGGGCTAGAAGTACCCTGTGGAGAGGAAGCCTCCCTCCTGTCCCTCTCCCCCGGGCCCTGCTCCTCTCCCTGAGGCCGGCTTCACTACTCTTCATTTCTTGGACGTTGTTCCAGAGAAGGGGCTACACGTCTACAAGTCTCCTCGCTTTGGGCCGCCCTCCTCCCTCCTCCTCTCCCAGTTCTGCTGGATGCTTCTTTCTCTGTCAGTCTGTCCATAGGCCTTCCTGTCTCACCTGGCTTGCCACCTCTTGTTCCTTATCTTTTTGAGTCTGCTCTCGGGCACCTGTCTTTTTTTTTTAATTTTTTTTTTCAACGTTTATTTATTTTTGGGACAGAGAGAGACAGAGCATGAACGGGGGAGGGGCAGAATCAGAAACAGGCTCCAGGCTCTGAGCCGTCAGCCCAGAGCCCGACGCGGGGCTCGAACCCACGGACCGCGAGATCGTGACCTGAGTCGAAGTCGGACGCTTAACCGACTGCGCCACCCAGGCGCCCCGGCACCTGTCTTTTTGATCGGTCGCTAGAAGCACGCTTTTCCTGCCAGTGCGGCACGCTCTGGAAGGGCCCGCTCCCCCCAAGGGCCCTCGTCTGCACGCCAGGCTATCTGGGAGAGGGCACAGCTCCCCGGCCCTTCATCACCGACCATGGATTAAGCGAGAAAAAAAACGGGGAAGCGCCCACAGGTGCTCGCATGGGTCCAGTTAGTCAGCACAGGCTCCTGTGCATGGGGGCCTGCTCTGCCTTCCCCCCAAGTCTTTACAGGCATGTGACTCTAGATCCTTCTAGGCCCAGCAGCACCCTCAGGCTGTTGACTTCGGCCCGTCCAAGGAGTCTGTCTTCCTCTAGTCTAAGAAATTGCTTCTCACAAAAACTTTTCTCCCTCTTGTTCCTTCCTTGGGCTCCTCTCCCCCGCCACCTCCGAGATGGT